CCGACGGCCACCAACGGCCACCGACGGCCACCCTGTCCTGGGGTGTCCCCACCAGGGGGATCTGGGCAGGGCTGGGGGGGGAACAGCGAGCGACTCTCGGTGACACCGTGTGACACTGACACCGTGTGTGTGACATTGTGTGTGACACTGACACTGTGTGTGACACTGTGTGTGTGACACTGACACCGTGTGTGACACTGACACTGTGTGACACTGTGTGTGACACTGACACTGTGTGTGACACTGACACTGTTTGACCCTGTGTGTGTCACTGACGCTGTGACACTGACACTGTGACACTGACACTGACACTGTGACACTGACACTGTGACACACTGACGCTGTGACACTGTGACAGACACTGACACTGACACTGTGTGACACTGACACTGTGACACTGTGACACTGACACTGTGACACTGACACTGTGACAGACACTGACACTGACACTGTGTGACACTGACACTGTGACACTGACACTGTGACAGACACTGACACTGACACTGTGTGACACTGACACTGTGACACTGACACTGTGACACTGACACTGTGTGACACTGACACTGACACTGTGTGACACTGACACTGTGTGACACTGACACACTGTGACACTGACACTGTGACACACTGACGCTGTGACACTGTGACAGACACTGACACTGTGTGACACTGACACTGTGTGACACTGACGCTGTGACACTGTGTCCCCCCCTTGTCCCCGCCCCCGGAAGTGTTGGGGTCACTCGGGGCCGGGGGGGTGACGAAGCCACCAGCGAGTCACCAACAGCCCCTGTGTCACCGCGGCCGTGTCCCTGCGTCACCCCCGGCCCGGGGACATCCCGGGGCCCCACCGCCCTGTCACCCCCTGTCCCCGTGTGTCACCCCCTGTCCCCGTGTGTCCCCAGGGTCCCGTGTGTGTCCCCCCGTCCCCGTGTGTCCCCAGGGTCCCGTGTGTGTCACCCCGTCCCCGTGTGTCACCGTGTGTCCCCGCGTGTCACCCCCTGTCCCCGTGTGTCACCCCCTGTCCCCGTGTGTCCCCAGGGTCCCGTGTGTGTCACTCCCTGTCCCCGTGTGTCACCCCCTGTCCCCGTGTGTCCCCAGGGTCCCTGTGTGTGTCACCCCCTGTCCCCGTGTGTCACCGTGTGTCCCCGCGTGTCACCCCCTGTCCCCGTGTGTCACCGTGTGTCCCCAGGGTCCGTGTGTCCCTGTGTGTCTGTGTGTCCCCAGGGTCCCGTGTGTGTCACCCCCTGTCCCCGTGTGTCACCGTGTGTCCCCGTGTGTGTCACCCTCTGTCCCCGTGTGTCCCCAGGGTCCCGTGTGTGTCACCCCCTGTCCCCGTGTGTCACCCCCTGTCCCCGTGTGTCCCCAGGGTCCCGTGTGTGTCACCCCCTGTCCCCGTGTGTCACCCCCTGTCCCCGTGTGTGTCACCCCCTGTCCCCATGTGTCCCCAGGGTCCCTGTGTGTCCCTTGTCCCCAGAGTCACCACAGACACGAGTGAGGCTGCTGGAAAAGGGGCTTTAAGTTAAATAAATTATTAATAATAGTAAATAATAATAATAATAATAATAATAATAATAATAATAATAATAATAATGGAATGTTGTAGATAAAAGCAGCTCGAGCTCGCTCCGGTGCCTGGGGACGCTCTTGGTGTCCCTGCTGAGGTCCCGGGGGGTCCCGGGAGTGTCCTGGGGGTGTCCCGGGGGTCTCCGTGGGGTCCCGGGAGTGTCCCGGGAGTGTCCCAAGGATGTCCCGGGGGTGTCCCGGGGGTCTCCGTGGGGTCCCGGGGGTGTCCCGGGAGTGTCCCGGGAGTGTCCTGGGGGTGTCCCGGGGATGTCCCGGGGGTCTCCGTGGGGTCCCGGGGATGACCCGGGGGTCCCGGGAGTGTCCTGGGGGTGTCCCGGGGATGACCCGGGGGTCCCGGGAGTGTCCTGGGGGTGTCCCGGGGATGACCCGGGGTGTCCCGGGGTGTCCCGGGGTGTCCCGGGGGTCTCTAACACGCGGGGACCCCCTCCAGGCAGGCGGCGACCCCCTCCAGGCAGCCCCGGAGCCGCTCCAGGGCCACCCCGGCCACCGTGTGCGGAGCCTGGGCGAGCGGGGCGGGGGGCGGCGGGGGGGGCTCG